ACATTCCCGCCCATTTCCACAAACAGGAATTCTTTATTCACTCTTGTTTAGGTTTGACATCTCTTTGTTTCATTGCTGTGTCAAGAAAGAAAACTGATATTAATTCATTGACCTTAGAATACTAACCATGGGTATATAGTACCCAGCGCAAATTTTCCTATTTTTAATTACAAATTTCAGTACCTGTTTTCCTTACCTAAATAATATTTTTCAGTTCCTATTAATGTTAACTCAAAGTACAAAGTTTGAAGTACCTGCATGTAAAATATTTCAAATAAAGATTTATATTTAATATTTTGTTTTGATATTTTCAAAAACGGGTATGATATACCCATGGTTAGTAATGGTGTAACTTTAATTGATGGTTAGCGTTCTAGGGTTAATAACAATAAATGATCAGTCCCCCATTTTATGTCTAGTAGAATTTTACATTAATACAACAAATGCTATCAATTTTTGTGTAGCAATTATTTTGGGGACCAGTCTGTTACTTCATAACAATACAAAACTGATAAAGATTTATATTTAATTTTTTTTTTTTTTTGATATTTTCAAAATCGGGCATTATATACCCATGGTTAGTAGTGGGGTAACTTTAATTAATGGTTTGTGTTCTAGGGTTAAAAGTAAAATTATTTATCTAGCTCTGTTATGGCATTGATTCTATTAGGCTAACCGGGAATAATGTCCGCTTTTGGAATCAACATCTTTTCAGTAATATTCAATCTGCAGAAGACCGGGAGGCCACTCGTGGTAGAGGATTACGTTAAGGGGTAGTTTATATGGATAGGAGGGAGGAATATAACGGTTAACCCTAGACTTAAACAAGTTAAGATTGTAGTGATTGGGGAAACATCCTCTAGGGAGTCTGTTCAACATAACAGTGGTTCGCGGGAGAAGCTGTTTGATTAGAACTTAATTCTCGACGTTGGAATACAGATGGAAAATGGATGGTTTGCTACTAGTAAATGACATAGCGGGTCCTTGCCTTGAAGGTTAGACCTGAGGAACCAAGTTCATCCGAACACTTTCCATGGTACTAACGATAAAACAGTGTGAGACTCGCCACATTCCACCTATGAGAGGGAGCTTGGACGATGGAATATAATTCTTCTCTAGCAAGGACTCTATCAAGACTGGAAAGTGATAGGCAGCTCCCGTCCAAACCTGCAGTAATGTATTTAAACAGTGTTTAAGCAATTCATATGAACCGTAAGTCGCTAAATATTTCTGTCATCGAGTTTAAACAGTGACTAAGTCCACTTTGCCTGACCCTGGGATTGAACCCACAATGTCACTAAATTCAAAAATGTGTGAATTTTGGGACATAGTGATTGGGTATAAAATTCTTTGTTTGGACAAAGTATAATTGAACAAGTTTGAAATGGGTGAGTAAAAACTGATCTCGTTTGTGTATTGGTAGAAATAACATTTTTGCTTCTACCCTTAACGAAAATAATTTAAAATTTAACTAAAAATATAATTTGGAATATTTTTTCGGGGTAAAATATTTTGCAGTTGATTTATGTCATAATTTTTTTTTCCCAAATCCTTCTTGTAGGATTATTTCTAATGTATTTATATAAGAATAAAATATTTTACATTCTGTTTGCATAGAAAAATAATTACATTGTTTATATCTTTTTATTTATCTATTGAACTTGCTATTTGCTCGCCTCGACAGTGAAACAATTTAGGTTTCATTTTTATTTTGTATTATCTCTAAAATAATCAAGTTCAATCGATTTATATTCATATTTCTTGTAAAATTCAATTAAAATGCATTTGTATAGATATCTTTACAAGTGCCAAATCAAATAAAAAAATGAACATCTAATGCCAAATCGAGGCTTCAGATGCCAAGTCCTCGCTTTCCAGTCCTGAGTTCAAACAGGCCTTACAGATGATGAATTATTTTCCAATCTATGATCCATTTTCCATGGACTAAACGTCACAGTCCTCTCGCTATATCCATGGCAAATATTCAGACCACCTGCATTCCTTAGTTTTCTTTTCTTTTGATTTTTTTTAATCAATTCACCCCAAGCCAGGTGATGATACCCCTAAAACGCAAATAGCTACAAAGAATAAAAAATAAAAACATTTGCACCAAATTGTGGTGATAATTTCTTTTC